GATTTTTTTGACTCATTCTAATGTCTAACGTTATCCCTTTAGGTGTCTCGGCCGTAACGATTATTATAAAACCCCGTTAAGACACATGTCACAATCTTAAAATTTTAAAATTCTTAAGAAAAATAAAAAGTAAAAATTAAATAATAAAAAGCAACCCGTGTGCATGCATCCCTCCCCTCACCCTCCCCTTCGTGATTTCAGTTTTCCATGGCCAAAAGGGTCAAAGTTTAGATGACCGACTAAACGATCGACCAAATAATCAAGTGGTCGGCTGTCACAACCAAATAATTAGTCAATTACCACGAATGATCAAAGGAATTTAATGGATTGGGTATTTTGATATTTAGGGATTATGATTGAAGTTTAGGGATTTAGAAATTTTGGGTTTTGAGATGATAGCAAGAGTTAAGATCTGTGAGTGGGTGGTCGGCGACGTAGGGTGACCGGTCGCCTGTGGATAGGTAGTCGGAAATGACCGGCGGTTGTACTAAAAGGGAGTAGAATAAGAGGTTTAGGAAGTTTGGGTTTTTTTTATATTTTAGAAAAAAATTGGTCATTTTCAAAAATAAAATATTTTAAAGTTTTTTTAAAACAAATTTCTAAAATTATCAGATTGTGACATATGTTATTTAATAAGTTTTTTAACGGCCGTTATCGAGGCACCTAAAGTGGTAACGTTTGTAACGTTAACCACTTGAATGAGTCAATAAATAGTTTAGACACCTATTCGCGAAAAACTATATAGTTTAGGCATTTATTTTGGTATTAAGTTTTCTAATAAACACAATATACATATCCTATAGTCTAAAATATTTATAATTTATTATTTAAAACTAAAATAATAATTATAATATAAATATTATATATATTGGTATATATTATTTCTATATAATAAATATTATTTATATATAATTTATGAAAAATATTTTTTTCAAAAAAATGCTTAAATTTTTAAATTTCCGTCAAAAGTCAAACCTCTAAATACTAAATTCCTATTTTCATCCATTGTCATTGGATTCTTACTATCAATTACCCTACTCTTTTATCACCGAAAATCAATATACAACATGGTAATCGATCATCAAATATCGAATGTGAAATGTTCTAATCAAACTACGAATGACGTGCACGATAAGAGGCGACTTCATTGTGACGACAATGACGTAACTATCGATGACGATGATGTGTGAATTTAGAGATTAATGTTTTAAGAAATTTAAAATGTTTTTTTGGAAGATTTTTTTAGTTTTAAGAATTTAAGGGATTTTATGACATTATTTTTTATAAGTCATATATAAACATATTTATTTTCATATATTAATATTATTTATAATATAAGTAATATTTTAGTTTTAAAAAATAAATTATAAATAATCTGAAACATATGATATGCATATTTGATTATGAAAATATAATAAAAGCTTAAGTTGGTTTAGTGATTATGCTACATATATGAATATGGTCTTGGGGAAATTATCGGGTGTGACCCTAGAATTTCTAAGATTCATGAATTTTCTCTGAACTTTGACAATTGTTCAATTTAGTTCTTAACCTTCTAATTTGAATACTATATTTTAAATTTATTCAATTTAATCCTTAATAGTTTATTTTTATTTTGATTGAGTCCTCAAATTTGGAATTTTGACAATTTAGTCCCTATAGTTTTAATAAGCAAAATTAATTCACGGAACCTTTAAGCCGTGTCGGGGAGTGACAAATACCAAATGTATTGCCATGGCGACGTAATGCATGTGAAACCAAAGCATGTAGATCTCAATTTACACTTTATGAGGGGGAAAAGGAAAAGTGTTCATTGAGAAGCTGCAAGTTAACTGTGTTGCAACTCATTGTCAAATCGTCCATGTATTAACAAATAACAAAACCTTTGGATGTATCAATGTTTATATTCACCAAAAAAAAAAAACTTTGCGAATTTGATGCAAGAGTACAAGAAGCCCGGGGGGGGGGGGAGGTTATTAAAATGGTTAATCACTTGATTCAATTGTAGTATTCCATTTTGACATTGCTTTTGAAAATATGTTTGAAAAGTGATGTTAGAAGGTATACTTTTAGAAGTGATTTTGAAAAATTAAGATTTTAGTGTTTAGTATTATTATTCAAAATTACTTTTAATAAGATAAATTGTCTTTTTTAACATTATATTGTAAATTAAAACATATTAATTTAAATTTGTTAATATTTTAATATATAAAATATATCAAATTAAATTATAAAAAAAAATATCAAATACAAATATAGTTATAATAAAAATATAGAATGAATTTATTTATTTTTTTGACAAAACGTAAGTAGTATATAATTAAGACATAATTTATAAAAATAATCAAAATTTTAATTCTTTTCTAACAAAGGAGTGAAGCTCATTATCACAATAAGGGTAGAAGCATAACTTTGCTTTTAAACTAAAATTTGAAAATGAAAAAACTAGAAAATTTAATTGTTACGGTTGGTTTAAAATTATCCTTCTAAATGCACTTTTTACATTTAAATTTTACATGTTTAGGAATAATTTTGCTTTCAAACCTGACTTTTAGACTAAAAGTGCGTTTAGACAACATTATCCAACAAGTTGTTAGTCAATTTAGGGCCTGTTTGGTAAGCTCTCTAAAAGCACTTTTATTTAAAAAGTCTGTTTTAACCGCAAAATCAATGTCAAACCGGTAAAAATGAAGAAAAAAATCGTGATGGAAATGATGATTTCAAACAAACCACAAAAGATGGGTATGCTTGGTTCTAAAAAGTATTTTCTATTTTTATTTACTATTTTTTAAAAAAAATAGTTTTCATTTTCAATTTTTTGAAAATTAGAAAACATGTTTGGTAATATAAATAAAAACTTGAATTCAAAACTAAAATACTAAAAATATATTTTGTATCTAATTTTTTAAAATATAAATAAAACAAATAGTTATTAAATAATTCAATTAGATTATAATTATTTAAAATCATTACATAAATTTGACATATGAGTTATACAAATATAAAGCAATAAAGTTGATAAGAAATTCCATAATACAAAATTTATTTTAGTTTGTAATAAGAATATAATGTTAATGCATATTAGACATCAATTAAATTTTAAATATACACAAAAAAAAACTTTTATAAGTAATAGCACACAAAAATGTCATTAACATAAAAATATGTTTAGTGGCAATTGAGACCCTTAAACTTTGAGAAAAATAATTAGTGTAATCCTTGAACTTTTTTTTACATCAAATGTTATCGTTAAACTTAGAAAAATATTAATTTAACCATTAGAACAACGAAATCATACGTTGATTGTCACGACATAACAGTTCACAAACTTACATGACAATTTATAATATTAATGTGACAGTTCACGATACTCTTTTGACAATACTAGATGGACGATGATGTGGTAGACATACCTAATTGCTTATTTTTTAAAGTTTGAGGACTTATAAATTTTTAAAAATTAAAAATTTATTCAAATTAGAATATAAAATATAAATAATTATTAAGATATTCAATAAATTAAATATAAAAATACTACAAAACTAAATTATTAAAAAAATAATGTATTACATTGAGGGTAAAAAAAGTTTATGGACCATATTGAGTTTTTTTATAAAAGTTTGAGAGTTTCAGATACCATTAAATAAAAAAATTGTTAAAATGATTTTTTTGAATTAATCACTGATATCCGATCAATTGACCGACTAATCCAGATCGGGTACTGCAGAGGAGAGGGCGACCCTTCCAACCAATTTGCTTCATTCGCAAACACCAAGATTCAAACCCCTGACCTTGCTTAAGGGACATAGTGCCTCATCCCACTACATCAACTAGTTGTTGGTATTGTTCAAATGATTTAAACATATGTGTAAGTTAAGTTAAAAATCTATATAATGTTTTCTTATTTTTTGAATTTTCAAAACAATTTTAATGAAAATACTGAAAACAATTTTTTTTTATGTTTTTATGTATTCACTTATTTTTGTTTTCATTTTTCAGAAATCACTTTTTAGTTTTATAACCAAACGTGTTTTCTTGAACGTTTTCTATTTTCTATAAAAATAAAAATAGCATATATTTTTTTAAACCAAACGGGACCTTAATATTTCTATTTTTTTTTTCATTTTCAACTTTGTGTTTGGAAATAAATTATAATTTACCTTTACTAATGCATGAGCTCCACTCAATTATGTATTTATATTTTATTTTAATAATTTTAATACTAACATCCTTAAAAATAATGTATTACTTTTTAATATTTAATTATTTAAAAATAAATAAAATTCATGATTTATATATTAAAATATTAATATAAAATATATTTTTATTATAATTATATTTTTTATTTGTATTTTTTATAATTGTATTATAGTTTAAATTGATATGATTCATATATATAATTATAAATATAATTTAAATGCTATAGCTTTAATTTATAACATCAATATCAAATAATTAAATTTTAAGCAACACTTTTATAAGTGACTTTTCAAAAGACATCAAATTGACCCTTAGTATTTTTATAATTGACCCTTGTTAAGCTGTTTGTGAGTCTGTTAAGAGCAATTTTCGACTTACAAGCTGCTTAGAAAATAAACGAGCGAAAGCAAGGTGGAAAGTTTGAGGTCTCAAAATCAACGATGGGCCATTTTTTTTTTTTTTTTTGCCGCAAATAGCAGGAAGTTTCATCATCTCTCTGCACTGGTTATGAAGTCAAGTCAAGTGTAGGCTGTAGGACATACCAATAAGGAAGTTTCATCCTCATCTCTCTGCACTAATTATCAAGTCAAGTCTACTTCAAAAAAAAAAAAACTATCAAGTCAAGTCAACTCAAGCGTAGCCTTTACGTAGGAGTACCAAAAAATTTAGTCTTCAAAACCCAATACGTCCCCATGATTCTCTTTGGACCACCAAAACTGGATAATCTATGGTACCAATTACCAAACCCAACCAATTTTCTCCAACCTCTTATTCTTGGAAATTTCCTCTGTCACTCAGAAATGTTTACCATTTCCATGTTTGCTATAAGTTCCTTCTCACAATCTCCTTCTCCGAAGCAAATCAAGTCCATAGTTATGGATTGTTCCACATTCTCTACACCAAAACTATGGTTTTTTTGTGCTTTCTTGTTGTTTATCATCATGTGCGTTAGTATAGTCTCTGGCACTGCAACTGAAATTAATTATGGTCCTCACTGTAACTCAGTTGTTCATGAATCTAAACCAGGTGATGAGGAGTTCAATGTCATGCCTTTTGCAGGACGTCAGAATGGTTACTTCAGAGGTGGGGATAATGTCCTAATCCTAAACAATCGTTCACATATGTACTATCCCTCGGAATCGAAAGCACTCGTTTTCGAAACTCGCCACGTATATGCAACTGATGTCGAGGATGTGTTCAAGGTGGAAGGAGACCTCATCTTCCAAACTTCGTATTACTACGAACAGAGTTTCAACCGTGACGGCTTATTTATTTCGAGTTCCAGAGATTCCGGTGATCGCGGAACTATGGACTTCGATTTTCAAGGCTTCTGGTCTCGAACCACCGGGGAGCTTTGCATGGTGGGATCGAGCGATACTTACTCCGATGAAGGTAAATTGCTTCAGCTTGCAGCTGTGCTTAAGATTAATAATCTTAAGAGTTCAAGTGATATCAGCACGTTAGTCACTGGGACTATTGCTAGCTTGAATTCTGCTAATGATCCGAATTACTTTGACAAAATATCACTGCTGATGTTTCCTCAAGTGAATTACGGTTACACCATGGCTTCAAAGCAATTTAATCAAGGGTGTCCCCTGGGAACCGATGTCCAACCGAAGTTGTCCCTCAGCTTATCGCTAACTCGAACTATTTGCGATATGTTGTCTGGTGGAGACAATGCTTTCAAACTGGAGTATTCAAGTGGCTGTGATTCTTCAAAGCGTTGCAGTCCATTCGGAGATGTCATCGGATATTTGCCTACCATGATGTCGTTGAGTATGATTCAGTGCTCAGCGGATAGGCTAAGCTTGAGGTTTCTGATAGAATTTCGGAACAATAGCTACAGGGGATATTATAGTTCTCCCAACATCAGCACTTCATTAATTGGAGAAGGAACTTGGGATGCCAAGAGCAATCGGCTTTGTATCATCGCTTGCCGAATCTACGATGCATTGAGCTCCTTGGAGACGTCTCGTGTTGGAGACTGCACAACACGTTTGAGCTTAAGATTCCCAGCAGTATTGTCTATCAGATACACAGGTACTGTTGTAGGTGAAATCTGGAGCCTGAAGAAGAGGAATGAAGCTGGTTTCTTCGATAGGATCGAGTTCCAAAATACTGGCAATCATAGGGGAAAGATTCAACTTCAAGGTTTGAAGTATGAATACACGGAGATGGACAGGGTGAAGAAATCTTGTCCAAAGAAGAATCCTAGGACTAGGAGCAGCAGGGTACAGTATCCAGATAGTATTTCTGGAGACATGGGTTTTAGTATGTCAATCCTCAATGGTTCCAAAGTAAATATCGGATGGGGTTCTTCGGATATTCTCGCGGTCAGCGATCAGTCGAATCAGAGATTTCCATATCTAATACCATCTTCAAGCTCAAAGCCTAAACATCCTGGTGTTAAATCTAATTCCAGCAGTGGTTCGCTTAATATCAGCTATAAAATGACAATTTCAGTACCTAGCTGGGAAGTTTATCCTGGACTTACTCCAGTTAACAAATCTTCAAATGAATATCTAGAAACTGAATTGATGATTTCTGCTGAAGGGATTTATGATACTGCAACAGGTAGCCTATGCATGGTTGGCTGCAGCCGTTTAATTTCGGGTGAGAAATCGTTTTCAAGTCATTCGATGGATTGTGAGATCCTTTTGAATGTCTATTTTCCTCCACAGGACTCAAACGGGCGAAGTAAGATCAAGGGAAGCATCGAGAGCATGCGTGAGAATACCGATCCTTTGTACTTCAAGCCTATGCAGTTTTCGGGATGGGCTCATTATCGCCGTTTGATATCCGAATCGATTTGGAGAATGAATTTTGAGATGATCATGTCGGTCATATCCAACACTCTTGCAATTATCTTTGTAGCATTTCAAATCTTTCATGTTCGGAAGCACCGTGGCGCTGGTCTTTTGGTTTCACTTCTCATGCTTGTTATTCTAGCCTTGGGACACTTGATTCCTTTGGTTCTAAATCTGGAAGCAATGTTTGAACAAGATAGTGAAAGATCGGTCTTGATTAGAGGTGGAACGTGGATCGAAATGAATGAGGTGATCATTAGGGTTGTCACAATGGTCGCTTTCCTACTGCAAACCCGTCTTTTGATGCTCTCATGGACCACTAGATGCTCCACTGGAAAGAAAAAGGCCTTGTGGACTGCAGAAAAGAGGGGGCTCTACGTGTGTTTTCCTGTGTACATAACTGGAGCTATGATCGCGTTTTACGTCAAGTCAAGGCAGACTGTACATCAAACCAGAAGGCATTCTTGGCACCACATGGATCAGATCATTTTGAGGAGCTCAAGACCTTATGCTGGTTTAATCCTGGATGCCTTTCTTTTCCCTCAAATCATCTTCAACATGTTTCAGAACTCAAGAGAACTCTCTCTTTCTCGATTCTATTACATCGGGATCACTGTTGTTCGCCTATTTCCCCATGTATATGATCTTTACAGGGCAAACACCTATGCTGATATAGAAGACACATACATTTATGCAGATCATGCTGCAGACTACTACTCAACTGCTTGGGACTTCATTATTATTGTGTTGGGTCTATTCTTTGCAGCAACTATACACTACCAACAGCGCCTCGGCGGTCGATGTTTGCTTCCAAATAGATTCCAGGAATCTGTGATAGATGAGGAGCTTCCAGTGGATTCAGAAGAACAGTTGCCACTGAAATATAGCACTTAGTGCCTGCTTTGTGTACTTTTCCGAAATAATTATGTATTCTGCTCTTTTGTTTTGTTAGCTGAATTAAACTATTGTAATATAAAGTTATATACAAAATTGAATGATAAATTCATAGCTCTGAATGAGTTTTAGGTTCAAGAGTGGGATCATAAGAGAGGGGAAGGTTCAAGGCTCAAACATGTAGAATACATATTTCCATTACATTAAAAACATGGTTAAACACAGATATTAATGCATATATAACAGATATAAATATAGATACTAATACAAAATATAACAGATACAAATTCTTTTAGACATAATTTTTAATGGCAGAACTGTATCCACTCTGATCATCATAGTCCCTAGACCATGGTTTAAGATAGAGCGGGACGAAAACGCATTAGCATCAGCTATTTGGCGGTAGTGTCACCATCCGAAATCGAAATCTGGAAAAATAACGGTGGGCAACGGATTTACGTCAAAATCGATCGATCGTATCTGTAATCTAACGGGTAACGGTGAATAGTACCGATATTGGGATACTATTATCATTATCTACCGTTAATGTGAAGAAAAAAACTAAATCAAGAGTATTTTTTTTAAAGATGAAAGTTTGGGGGTGGGGGGGTTGAGAGACTGGGGAGCTTAACAGAGAGTTTTACTGTGAGATTGGAGTGAGCTTTACCGTGAGAGGGGGAGTTGAGAGACCAGAAGAGTTTGCCGTGAGAGGGGGTAGGGGTATTAATGTACGTGGAAGTGGGTTTCAGTGAGGGGAAGGGGAGTTGAGAGATTGAAGAGTGGAAAATGAGTTTTTTTTTTAAATAATTTTTGAAATTATTCGAAGAGATGATTTTTTTTTATATTTTTAAATAATTTTTAAAATATAATTTTGAAGGGTATATCAATTTAACATTCTTTCCACCTTTTAGAATTTAGAATTTAATCTTTAGTTTAAAATGTAAACTTTTATTTTTATTTAATTTAGTCCTAATTTCAGTAATATAAATTTTTGACATTTAAATTTTATATTTTTATTTTAATTATATTTAATTTAGTTATTTTGTGTTCTTTAAATTTATTCAAATTTCATTCAACATGGTATATAATTTTTTATCTCATAGTTATATCAAAATTTATTTTTATCCATTTTAATTTCTTAGAGTTTTTCCTATGTTGATAGTATTATTTCTTGCCAATGAGTGTTGGCACAAGTGGTTGGGATTTAAGAATTTGAGCTTGTAAGATTAAATTCGAATCCTACCATCGAGTTTTCTTAGCGAAAGGGTTCAGAGAGAGGATCGCCATTCTTTAAAAAGAATATTTCCACTCAATGTATTTAATTGAATTTTTTTTAGCTAGCCTAAACCCTTCTACTTCTTTAAAATTAAATGATAATAATAAATTTATCAATAACATTTTTTTAAAAATAAATACACAATTTAAATCTAAATCACAATTAAATTTATATTTTTTTTGTTTATAAGATTATTTTATTATAATTATAATTTTGTTTTAAGTCGAGCGTGGGATGATTTTTGTTCAACATGATGTGGTGTATGTAGGGATGAGCATGGGTCGGGTTTAGACCAACCTGACTCGAAAATTTTACATCTTTCACCTAATTCGACCCGATTTTTTTAGATAAAATCTGAATTCGATCTGATCCAACCCGAATAATAAAAAATATTATTTATATTCAATAAAAATAGTGACTTAATTAAAAAATAATATATAGAGGAATATTATTATAATTATTTCTAAATATATAAGGTAAAATTATATTTTTTTCGGGTCGGGTGGGTTGGGTATTTTCATCCTAAACTCGAATCCGATCCGACCCGAACATCACCTTTAAAAAAACCTGACCCGACCCAAACTAATTTTTTTTAAGAACCGTCGGTTGAGTCGAAACCCGTCGAATTCGAGTACCATGTCCATCCCAGGTGTACGGAAGCATTCGTTCTATAAGATTTTGAGACGATAATTAGGTCGAACATTTTGGTCCTCTCAAATAGTTGTGCCGGAACCCCTTATTTATCGATGACTTTATTTTTTGGTAAGTGGTCTTATGGGTGGTGATGGTCCATGGAATTTGAAATGTTCTTGGTACATGGTTTGTTAATTATATCTCACTTCACATTTTTATATTAATACCCGTAATTAAAGTATAATATTTTTAAAATAAAATTGTAAATGAATACAAACGTTCATCAAATCGTTTGTAAAATATTTATTTATTAAACTAAATAAATGAATATAAATAAAAGAATTATGTTTGTTTAATAAACGAATAAATACAAATATATGTGTTCTGTTTGTTTATATTCGTGAACAAATTCATTTTTTGGCTCATCTATAAATTTGTTTATTGATTCATTTATTTATTAATAAAATTTTTCTTATAAAAATATTAAAATAATATTTTTCTTCTATTTTTATTTGAATTTTAATTCATTAATCTAGATATACATACATCAATATAAATATATGTTTATTTATATGTGTTGTGATAGTGGGAGAAGTATATATTTATACCGGTATAAGTATGTATTTATTTTTAGGTACTAAATTTACACCAATATCAATATATCTACCACTATCATGGTATCTCATACTTACACTTGTATAAAGATATACATCTCTCACTATCCTTTTTTGAAATTATTTTTATTAAAATATAAAGATTTCATCATATGATTATATTTTTAAAGTGATTTTACATTCTAACGACTGATACTTTTATAACCTTATTTTTCAATAAATATTTTTATAACACCGATAAATATAATAATAATAATAATAAAAAATCGAAGGATATTGATGTGATGATGATGATGACAACGACGATGATAGATTTTCATGTTGATGTTATTGAAATGAGATTTTAACTTTTTTTTATTAAATATTTTATAAAAAATATATATATTTTTAAAAATAATAGAATCATTTTCTTTTTAAGGGTTAATTTTTTTTAATAATAATAACATTTTTATTTTTATATAAAAAATCATTTCTATAAATTTTTAAGGTGTCCATTGACATTTGACACCCCTTGTATAATGACTGCGCTCATGGCTCTAATAAAAAAATTAGTAAAATAATATATGCTTAAACACTTATGTTGTTATTTTTTATCAATTTTATTTTTTTAAATAGTTTTAAGGTCTTTTAAGAATAGTTTTTACATCTTTTTATTATTTTAAAAAATTTAGATTTTTTAAATCCAGCCAATTATAGAAAAAACATGTCATATATTAATTAAAATCATTTTCAATTGCTTTTACTTACTCCCTTTTAAATAGCACATAGGTAATTGTTGGGGACTCCATTAATCTTGGTCCTATAGTACAAGGGGTTTATTGTATTTATACTTTTTACACTTGCCCTTCTCATTGAAGAAACATGACCCGCAATTCAGTAGGTGATATGGTTAACCCGATCCAATTGAAAAGGATCCACATATAAAGAGGGCATAATGCAAACAAACACCCCTAACGTTTGACCATATATGCAATTATGCCCAAATCGTTATTTTTTTGCCCAAATCGTTATTTTTTTGAGTATTTGTACCCACAACGTTTAAATCTGATTCAAAAGTCACCCCTGTTGGATGGAAACCGTTAGTCAACTGACGGTCAATGGCTCCAGCTGACTAAGCAAGCACATGTGGACAACAATGATGACGTGGCGTGTCCACTTCACTAATATATGTTGACGTGGAATTGACATGCCAGCGAAAAGAATTTGGTTTAAAAAAATTAATTTCAACTAAAATTTTGCACCAATAAGAGAGTGACACGTGTCACTCTCATATTAATGCGTATTGACAAGAATAAATAAAAGGTTGTTATTTGCATAAAAAGGGAATTAAACCTAGGGCAAGACCATGAAATGAGATTGCCCTTGCCACCAGGCCAAGCATGCTATTCAATTATGTAATAAAACAAAAGATTATTTAACTCATGTTAAATCACTTCATCCATCACAAAAAGCCAATATGCTAACAAAGACATACAAATGCTCGATAAAATATTTTAATCAAATGCATTTTCCAAACAGAACAACACATTTAGTGTCCCAAAAACTTATGAATGTGCAAACAGTGGCCAAAAAGAAGGAAGTCTTTACACCAAAACAACATTATTCAACATTTACGAGTCAAAAGAAGCTATAAATATTGCAAATAGAACTTGCATATTTCTTACCAAACGTTGCATATCCATAGGAATTTCAACTGCATGGAATGAAAAGATAAAGGGGAAAACTAAGGATTCACTAAGCCGTTTAAGAGTGTAATTATTAAAAATTAAAGTTGAGAAAGGTCATACCTAATTTATTGTGAGTTAAATCAAGAGTTGACACTGAACTATATAGATCAAGAACTTCATCGGGAAATGTCTGTTCAAGTCGAAGCATTCCCCAGCAGACACACAATGGGAAAAAAATGACAAACATAATACATATTTTGAACTGCTTGACTAAATGCAAAATCGGGTCTTCAATTCTCCAAAACTATTAAGCAAACAAGCTCGAACGAGAATCTGTATATTTAAATACCAAAAAACACTAGTATCTAAAACTAATTGTATAAAGGAACTGATCTATCATGTTGAGTTAATCGATTGACGGAATCGGCCAAGAGGGGGGTGAATTGGCAATAAAAATTTTGGTGGAAGCTTTTGCAGAAAATTGAAAGAAATTGCACAGCGATTTAGAGTGGTTCGACTTTCTTAACCAAAGTCTACGTCCACTACCTTAGCTATCCACACTAAGGGTTTTCCACAAATTCACTAATTTGTCTTTCTTTTGAGGACAAAGAGTAACCTTACAAACCCTCAAGAATTATACCCCAAATTCTTGAGAACACTCTCTCCCAAAGAGAACAATACATATTTGCAAACTTACAAGGAAATCCTCACAAGGTAGATTGTTTGCATAATTCTAGAACAAAGAAAAGAACACTCAAGAATGAATACAATTGAGCACAATAAGTGTTCTTGAAAGCAAAATGAATATTG